GAGCTGTAGGTGCGTGGCATGTAGTAGCTGTAGTAGCTGTGGCATGTGAGCTCAGTGGTTGTGGCTTGTGGGGTCTAGAGCGCAGGCTCAGTAGTTGTGGCGCATGGGCTTAGTTGCTCCGCGGCGTGTGGGATCTTCCTGGACCAGGGCTCGAGCCCGTGTCCCCAGTATTGGCAGGCGGGTTCTTAACCACTGCACCACCAGGGAAGCCCTACAGTGTATTTTGAATATTAGAATATTATAGATTCAAAGAAACAGATTTGTATCAATAAAAGCTTTGTGTTCTTTCCCCAATGCATATGTGTGTTTTTTTAAGAATTTATTATTATTAATTTTTTTGGCTGCATTGGGTCTTCGTTGCTGCGTGCGGGCTTTCTCTAGTTGCGGCAAGCGGTGGCTACTCTTTCGTTGTGGTGTGCAGGCTTCTCATCGCGGTGGCTTCTCTTGCTGCGGAACATGGGCTCTAGGTGCACAGGCTCCAGTAGTTGTGGCTCACGGGCTCAGTAGTTGTGGCTCGCAGGCTCTAGAGCACAGGCTCAGCAGTTGTGGGGTATGGGCTTAGTTGCTCCACAGCATATGGGATCTTCCCAGACCAGGGCTCGAACCCGTGCCCCCTGCATTGGCAGGTGTATTCTTAACCACTGCGCCACCAGGGAAGCCCCTGCATATGTGTTTTAAATAGTTAGGGAATTCCCTGGCGGTCCAGTGGTTAGGACTCTGCACTTCCACTGCAGGGGGCATGGGTTCCGTCCCTGGACAGGGAACTAAAATCCCGCGTGCCAACAAAACTGAAAGCCTTTTATTTAAAAAAAAAAAAAAGTTAGAGTTATAGTATGTATACAACTTTACATTCTAGTCTTCCTTGAAAAAGTGTCATAAGTATTTTTCGGTGTTAGTACTCGTTTGTTCATTGGTTTAGCAAACATTTGTCGCTGCTCCTGTGAGCTAGTCCTCCTGGATCTGGGGATAGGGAGAGAACGCAAGAGGCCGCAGACTGGTGCTGGGTGAGGAGAATGAGGTTTGTTCTGGGACAGCTGAGAGGCATGAGATGCATGGTCTTAAGCTCAGAAGAGAGGGCTAAGCTAGAGATAAGGACTTGGGAGTCAGCAGCTTCTGGGTGAAACCATGGAGGTAGATGAGACTACCCAGGGACAATGGGTAAAGTGAGAATAAGGACAGGACAGCACCCCATGGATTCCAGGCATATGTGGTGAAGGGAAGAATCTGTCCAAGAGACTGAGGAGGAAGTTTTAGGGAGATGAGAGAAAAAAGCAGAGATGTGAAGCTGAGGTGGAAAGAATTTTAGGGAGAAAGGGGTCGTTATTTCTTGGTGCCCCTGAGAAAGGAAGTGTGAATCCTCAAGCATTACTTGGATCAGGGGGCTTGGATTAACTGGATCAGTGCCAGCAATTTCAGTTGAGTGGCTCAGAAGCAATCTGGCAGTAGATTGAAACATAAAAGGGAAGTAACAAAGGAGAGAAAACTTGTGTGCAATGATATGAAAAAGAAACTGAAAATTTGAAAGGATGATGTTTCTAAAATAGACCCAGATATTCTTGTGTTTGCTTCCTGCAAATGCCAGTGGATCTGGATTTGAGCGCCCTCGTGAGAAACCACTGATTTAGTCCAAAGTTCTCAGTATGTAGTTTCCTGGGCCCCATCCTAGAATCTCTGAATGTGAGACCTAAGAATTTGCTTTTTTTTCTTCTGCCCACTCCTTGTGGCATGTGGGATCTTAGTTCCCCAACCAGGGGTCAAACCCCGGCTCACAGCAGTGAAAACGCTGAGTCTTAACCACGGGACCGCCAGGGAATTCCCTGGCGGTCCCGTGGTTAGGACTTCACGCTTTCACTGCTGTGGGCTCAGGTTCGATCCCTGGTCGGGGAATTAAGATCCCACAAGTCACTTGGCTTGGCAGAAAAAAAAAAAAAGAAAAAGAATCTGCGTTTTTGTTTTTGTTTTTGATTTGCGGTACGCGGGCCTCTCACCGTTGTGGCCTCTCCCGTTGCGGAGCACAGGCTCCGGACGCGCAGGCTCAGCGGCCACGGCTCACGGGCCCAGCCGCTCCGCGGCATGTGGGATCCTCCCGGACCGGGGCACGAACCTGTGTCCCCTGCATCGGCAGGCGGACTCTCAACCACTGCGCCACCAGGGAAGCCTGAATCTGCGTTTTTGAGACGCTCAACAGGCGATTCTTATGTTTTTCTAAGGTAGAAAAACTGCTGATGTAGTGTTAGTCATTTTCCTTTTCCCTCCAACTTGTAAATTAAAATTTTTCAAACTATAGAAAAGTTGGGAGGATAGCATAAGGAACACCTATATTCCTTTCACCTGGATTCACCAACTGTTGACATTTTATCACATTTGCTTCCTCTCACCTTTTTTTTTTTCTGAATCATTTAAAAGTAGGTGCAAACATCATGACATTTTATCCCCAGATACTTCAGCAAGCATCTGCCAAACATAGGTCTTCTCCTGAGCAGCCACAGGACCGTTATCGAGCCTGAGAACATGAACGATTCTCCAGCACAGGCCAGCACTCAGTCCATACTCAGATTTCCCCAACTGGTCTAAAAAAAAAGTTTTTAGCTTTTTTCCTTGAATTTAAGATTCAGGCAACATTCATACATTTCATTTGATGGTTGTGTCTCTTTAGTCTGCCTTTTGTTTTTTGTGTGTGTGTGATACTTACTTTTTTTTTGAAGAGGCCAGCGTCTCTTGTACGAGGTCCTCCATGTTTATTTGTCCCCTGTTTTCCCTATGATTAAATTTAAGTTCCATGTATTTGGGAAGCCCGAGGTTATGTCTTTTATTGGTGATACCAAGTTTGGCCACTTGTTCAAGGGGGTAACCATCAGACTGAGTCATCTGTGGAGTGATGCTTTGGGTCCCTGTGAATTTCCAGTTCCTTAGCCCCCTGATGGTCCTTGCCTGATTCGTTTGTGAGAGTGTGTGTTGCAAAATGGTAATTTTCTAATTTGCTCATTCCTTCTGCATTTATTAGCTGACATTCTTCCTTAAAGAAGTTTTCTGTCTTAAAATTACTATAGAATAATAGTAATTTCTTTCCTTGTATTAGATTTCATTCACAGACTCCCATTTAAAATCTTTTAGATGCCAGATTGCATTCATTGTTTTTCCACTTTTGTTAAGCAAAGCCATTATAATTGCCGATATGAATGAGCTTAATTGGGTATGAGATGACAAACGCATCCACACTGAGAAATGTAGTTATAGCCAAAAGCTAGGAAACCTGATAACTTTAGCCTCCCTGACATAAACAGGGAGCCGTTTACAATCCAGGCTCCTGTATTTGGACAGAGATTAGCTCGCCATCCTCATGACCACCTTACCAGGACCTTGGACTTGCAGCCACTGGCCCAGCCTTTCCTCTCACTTCCTATTTGATTACCAGGCTCCACCAACTTTTCTGACCTCACAGCTCCCACAGGTGCCTGCTCCCAGCGAATCCCTTTGCAAAGACCAGGGTTTATATTTGGTTTTTAGGACTCTGCATATTCAGCTTAGCTGGGATATGTTTGATTTTCCTCAGCAGTGTCTCAAGAGATTGCCATTCTTCTGAGAACTTCTCTATATCCTGAGAGACATGTTCTCCTAATATAGGGCTTTTCTTATCCCTTGACTTTCTGTCCACATCATCAAGTTTTTCTTCCTTTCTCACTCAGAACCAGGGTTTCCTTACCATAATGGTCTGTGAACTTTTCCCCCTTTTTACAAATGCAATACTGTTTATTAGACAAAAATCAATAAATACCAATGAGCAAAAAAATATAACATTTTGGATCCTCTTAGTATGGGTTGGGCACTTTATATAACTCATTTAAGATTGACAACAAACTTACGATTTGTGTTATCCTCATTTTTCCGTCCTTTGCAGTTGAGGAAAATGAGACCTGAGGTTAAATGACTGGCTTGGGGTCATGAGCTAACAAGTTGCAGAGCTGATTTTCAAACCACAGCCAAGACTCGTTTATATTACCCTTCCAGAGCTTTTTCTATATATCAATACAAATATATAAACATGCAGAAAATACACTTCAACAGCATTCTTTTTAATCCAGTGTCATTCTCTTTCCCCTCCTCCCGGCCCTATCCCCAGGATCGACGAGAACGTGCTGGGAGCCCAGCTGGATGTTGAGGCCGCCCACTCAGAGATCCTCAAGTACTTCCAGTCGGTCACCTCCAACCGGTGGCTTATGGTCAAAATCTTCCTCATCCTCATTGTGTTCTTCATCATCTTTGTGGTCTTCCTTGCCTGAACCCTCTCCACTCTGAGGCACTCCATGGGGGTTTGGAACCCTCCTGGGAGGGCAGGTGGCCAGAGCTGCCACTGAGCCTGTGCAGGATGCTTGGGAGAAAGGCCCTGCTTCCTTGGAACTGCTAAGAATGGCCACTGCCCCCAATCCCCCACTCCTTTCCTCTGGCCACCCTGTCCTCCCCTCCCCACCCTCCAGCCCATGAAACACACACGGTTCTGCATTTGGACTCTGCTGTGAAGTGGCTGGAAGGGAGCAGAGGCCAACTGGGGGCTCATCACGCAGGTTGTCTCCACTAGGAGATTTTTATCAACCCTCCCCAGCCTGTCGCAAAAGAAACTTTGGCAGCAAGGGGAGGTGATGTCCTTCCTCACCTTCCTGAGAGTGAGGAAAGGAAGTGAAACTGGCCCAGGGACCAACTTTCCCATCTGGATTAGAATTTGACCTCTTCTTCCTCTCTTCACCATGTGAGGCAGGGGGCCCTGAGCCCCTCGGCTGCCTGCATAACCCCAACTTTGGCTGCAGGTGACTCTCAATCTGCCAAATGTGCTGCAGCCTGTTTTCTCCCAATTACAACAAGACTGTCAGCCTCACTAGCCATGTTGTCATTTTTGGGTGGGAGCGTCAAAAGGCCTAGGCAGCAAGTGGAGTGAGCCCACTGCCCAATATTATAACTGAAAGGGTTGGGCTGATGGCCCGAAGCGGCCAGGCTTTGGGCTCTATGCACACAGCTGCCTCCAGCAGGGGATAACCAAGTGCAGCAGCACTTAATTAGCATGGAAACTTCCCTTCAAAGTGGGGAGCAGGATCTCAGAGTGGGTCTCTGATGGGTGGCAACTTCAGGACCATCTCCAGAAGTATTTGGACCTGTTTCATCTGCATCCTCCAACCAGCTGGCCCCACGTTTTCCTTGGGCTGAATGAAGCAGGAGTTCTGCCTGCTGCCAGGAGTGAAAGGTGAAGAGAAGTGTTTGTTCGCAGCTCCAGCTGAGGCTCGTGGTCCCCTCGAAGCCCCTCACCAAATCCAAGCTAGTCACACGAGAATGAAGTAGAGACCTGCCTGGAACACCTACCCTCCAGGGAGGTCAATATGCTCGTCAGTCCCGAGCAGGACCCACGACCACATCGTGCCGAGGTCACCGGAGTTCCCCCATTTCACACACCCAAAGGAAGCTCAAGCTATAGCGAGGACCATCACCATCACACTGGGCTGGCCATAGCACTTTGCGGGGGGGGGCGGTTGTCTAGGAGAGCCCAGGTCTTTCCTAGGCCTGGTGTTTTAATATTTCCTCTCCCCTTGGCCTGTGTTCAGAGGGTGGTCTTGCTTGCATCTTCACTGCCCAGTTGACCCACGATGTGGGTTTAGCACAGCACATCGGTGGTGGGTGGGGCGGTCTGTGAAGACGACCAAAGCCTGACAAATGCAGTTTTTCTCATTTGACTCTGCAACTCTTCTTGGGGGAACGCAGAGATAGGAAGCTTATTTCATAAATATTTGTTGAGTTTCCGCTACGTGCTAGGTATGGTACTGAGCCAGGTGCTGGAGAAAAAAGCCATGAATTAGTCAAGTCCCTGCTCTCTTGGAGCTTACCTTCTAGTTTTCTATTTTTATAGGCGAGGAAAGCACGGCATAGATAACGCAGATGGCAAAGGGCTGGGCTGAGCTGAGACCTAAGCCCTGGCTGGATCCCCGTAGGGGTCTATGAGCGGTCACTCCCACTCCAAGGCCCTTGGTCTCCCATTCCTCGGCAGCACTTCTTGTGGCTCCTCTTCTCTGTTCCTCTTGGAATCCTGGGCTGTAGCGTCCAGCTCTCTGCTTGAGCCCCTACCTTTGTGGTGCTGGTCTAGCGGCGGACGGATACGAGTAGGGGGCGGGGCGAACTCGCGGTAACTCTGGGCTGCGCGAGCTCGGGTCTTGGGCGGGGCGTGCAGCGCCAAGTCCCGCCCCCGGCGCGTCTGCTCGTCGGATGCGTACGCACATGTCCCAGCGGCCCCGCCTGTTATTGTAGGACGTCGGCTGTCTGTGACGAGCTCGACCCCATAAAAGCGGTGGCACCCAGCGCAGGAGCACTTCGCCTTGGAGCGCCTAGGCGTTCGGACGTTGGGCTGGGTTGCGGCCCGCGACAGAGCCCTCCCTTTCTCGGTGTGCCATGGCGGACGAGGGGAAGTCGTACAACGGTCAGTGCCGGCCCTTGGGTTGGGGAGCGGGACGATCTGGGCTCAGCTGGGCAGCGCCGGCCTAGGCCGCAGCGCCGGGGCGTGAGGCCGCGAGGGGCCCGGCGTCCGCGGGGAGCGGCGGTGCTCGGCGCCGGCCCGGGGCGAGGCAGCCCGGGGGTTTGGCTGAACTTGAGGGTGGGTGCCCGACTTGTTAATTCCGGAATCCTGGCGTTGCGAGCACCTGCGGCTCGAAGCCGGTGGCTCGGCAGCGTGGTGATGAGATTCCTTTGAACTTTGTGGATGGTTGATACCTGTCAGTTCAATTTGGCTGCCAGACTCTTTAATGTGAGTCGGTGCCCTGCTCTTGGGCCGCTGGTGCCCTATTTTCTACCGCGCGTCCAGTCGGTCTTGCCCCCTTCCCCTCCCCCCCACCCGCCGCGGCTTTGGCTTAATATTTTAGACCTACACACTAACTCGATGTTCTAGTCCGAACACTACATTGGGTTTTAGTCCAGAGTAGTGGTTAAAAGCACACGACAGCCGAGGTTTCAATCCTGAGTTGGCTATGCCAATCTTGAGTGAGTTAAACACTCAGGCCTGATTTTCCACCCCTTTAATAAGGATAGAAACAGTACCTACCCCCTGAGTTTGTCTCCGTGTGTGCGTTAAAACGAGATGGTTCGTGTCAAGTGCCTGGAGCATAGTGCCTGGCATTGGAGAAAGCCCTCAATGAACGTTAGCTGCGCTTTCTATTCATTTATTATTTTTTTCCCTAGGGTCATTTCTTGAGGTTCATTGTTTGCAGAGTATTACGCATTAGACAGACCTTTTTGGGGAATCATGCGTCTTTTTTAAGAAGCCATTCCTACCCACCAGGGTTCAGAGGATCATATTCCTGGAGAACATTTGAGGACCCTTGGTGAAACACCCTAGCTGCCACTAGAACCTGAATTTAGGAGTTGTCTCCTGAGTTAAGAGGCATTTCTGACCAAGGAAACAAAGAGCTCACTCCCTAAACTTCAGAGTGGCAGTTTGAGAATAAGGCTTTCAAAAGAAGCTCTTAAATTGGTCATATTTGTAACTGATGTTTGTACTGTATAGGCAAAAGAGGTATTGTTTACTGAAAGCTAATGTAATCATTGTGATTGGTTTTCTGAGATGTGAGAGAGGTCACCTTGGGATTAAGTAGATTTGGGTGGGCTGACAGAAAGCTGATTTCAGGTGACTTTCAGGGAGTCTGAGTTGTGTCCAGTTACACTTGGGTCACTCACACTTCCACATTCACTTCAGAGTGGCAGTTTAAGAACAAGAATTTTATTTATTTAGTTTTTTTTAGTAAGGTTGATTTACAGTATTATGTTAGTTTCAGGTATATGACATAGTGATTCAGTATTTGATAAATTCGATTCCATTAAAAGTTATTACAAAGTAATGGCTGTCACTGCCCATGCTGTACAATGTATCCTTGTTGCTTATCCATTGTATATTTAGTAGTTTGTATCTCTTAATCCCATAACCTTATCTTGCCCCTCCCCACTTCCGTCTCCCCAGTGGTAACCACTAGTTTGTTATCTATATCTGTGAGACTGTTTCTGTTTTGCTGAATATATTTATTTTTTAGATTCCACATGTAGGTGCTATCATACAATAATTGTCTTTTTCTGTCTGACTTATTTCACTAAGCATAATACCCTCCAAGTCCATTCATGGTGTTGCAGTGGCAAAATTTCATTCTTTTTTATGACTGAGTAGTATTTCATTCTTTTTTATGACTGAGTAGTATTCATCTCCTCCTGAGTCTGTTGTGTATATATGTACCCCATCTTCTTTATCCATTAGTCTCTTGATGGACACTTGGGTTGCTTCCATATCTTGGCCACTGTAAATAGTGCTGCTATGAACTTTGGGATGCATGTATCTTTATTTATCCCCCCTGAACACAAGTGAAGCTCATATGGTATATAACACAGGGAACTCTACTCAGTGCTCTGTGGTTACCTAAATGGGAAGGAAATCCAAAAAAGAGGGGATATATGTATACATATAGCTGATTCACTTTGCTGTACAGTAGAAACTAACACAGCATTGTAAAGCAATTAAACTCCAATAAAAAGTTAAAGATTTAAAAAAAAAGCAAGTGAAGCTTATATGTTTTCTTCCCTTTTTCTTAGTTTTGATGTTTTCCTTTTTTTTTAATTTTTATTTTACATTAGCGTATAGTTGATTTACAATGTTGTGTTAGTTTCAGGCGTACAGCAAAGTGATTTAGTTATACATATATCTATTTTTCAGATTCTTTTCCCATATAGGTTATTTCAGAGTTTTGAGTAGAGTTTCCTGTGCTCTATGGTAGGTCCTTGTTGATTATCTGTTTTGTATATAGTAGTGTGTATATGTTAATCCCAACCTCTTAATTTATGCATGTATCTTTTTGAGTTAGTATTTTTTGTTTTTTCCAGATATATAACCAGGAGTGGAATTGCTGGATCATATGGTAGCTCTGTTTTTAGTTTTTTGAAGAGAGAACAAGACCTAAAAGAAGCCCTTAAATTGGTCATATTTGTAACTGATGTCTGTGCTATATAGGCAAAAGAAGTATTGTTTACTGAGAGCTGATGTAATTATTGTGATTGTGATGTAACTATTGTGACTGATCAAATTTTCAGTGAGGGTAGACTTAGGGAATGAACTTATGGTTACTAGGGGGGAAGGGTGGGGGGGCAGGGATAGTTAGGGAGTTTGGAATTGATGTGTACACACTGCTCTATTTAAAATGGATAACCAACGAGGACATACTGTATAGCACAGGGAACTCTGCTCAGTATTCTCAAACAACCGAATTGGGAAAAAAATTTGAAAAGGAATAGATAACATTTATATGTATAACTGAATTACTTTGTTGTACACCTGAAACTAACACAACGTTGTTAATCAGCTATACTCCAATATAAAATTAAAAGTTAAAAAAAATTTTGAGTGGGATTAAGTAGATTTGGGAGGCTGAGAAAAGCAGACTTCAGATGACTTTCAGGGGCTCTGAGTTGTATCCAGTTAAACTTGGGACACTCTCACTTCCACATTCTGCTTCTTCTTTCTATAGTTCCAGTTTCTGCTTCATTTTTCTAAAGACTTTACACAGTTTTCCAATCATTTTCCCCTGTTGCTGCCATCCCACGGAGAGGGTTCTTTCCCTGGACAGGCAGAAGAGTTTGCATGGAGGTGGTCTCTGTAGTGAGTGTGTATCTCATCTGATAGTGCCGGGTGCCGGATGCTGTGGTTGCCAGGCAAGGTAGCTGAACCAGTGATGTATTTTCTCATTTAAAATTCTGTTCCCAACCCCAGAGCACGATGATCGTGTTGGTTTCCCTCAAAGAAGAAAGAAAGGCCGGGGCCCCTTCCGGTGGAAGTATGGTGAGGGGAACCGGAGGTCTGGAAGAGGAGGTTTCGTTGTTCGGTCTTCCCGCCTTGAGGAAGAGAACAGAGATGTGGCAATGAGCGATGCCCAGGATGTTTCCCGAGTACGATAGTAAGTAACCAGTTGATCTGGTTTGAATTTATCGACCCCCTCATTTATGTAGCCCTCTTACTGTCCATGTCATTTCTCTTCCCGCCTGGAAGAGAGAGAAATGCCAGGACCTGCTTAATGGTTGAGCAGTCTTAGTTGTGGTCCTGGTAACAGTGCAGGAAAGTCTTTGAGAAGACACTCCTGACCTTTCTGAGTGTTTTATTCTCTCCCTCCCCACAGCAACCCCTATGCTGCACGACCCAACCGTAGGGGTGATAATTGGCAGGAGCGGTCTCGAATTCATGTTACTGTGCCTCTGCGGAGAGATAGAGCTCCTCCAGAGAGGGGAGGGGCTGGCACCAGCCAGGATGGGACCTCAAAGAACTGGTTTAAGATTACAGTGAGTACCTTGGAAAGTACATGGTGCAGGGGAGCTATAGGGGGCTGGGCTCAGAGTTAAGGTGTTTACTTTTCACATTAAAAAATCAGTGTTCTCAGCTGTTAACTCCACAATCAGGTAACCATTCTTTCTCCTAAGAGTCAATATCTTAGAACACCTAAGAGCAGGTTCAGAAAAGGAGAAGGGGACAGGTAGGACGGGGAGGCCATCTAAAGGGAAATGTGGTAACTGCGGTTGGGAGGTGGAATAACGCCTCCACGTGTCTCCATCTGACTCAAGCTGAGTGTGGAGCTGGGGGTCCCTTGAGTTCTCTCAGGGGCAGGCAGGTTATAAATGATGTCTTGGAACTTTTAGAATCAAACAATTTGAATCTTTTGAGGAATAATAAGTATAAATGGACACAAAGGAGGTTAAGGAGTTCGTGTTTGGCTTGAGTAGAAACCCTTTTTTTTGGCCACACCATGCAGCTTGTGGGATCTTCTTAGTTCCCCGACCAGGGATTGAACCCGGACCACCAGGGAGTTCCCAGAAAACCTTTTTTTAAAAAAAATATTTATTTGGCTGCACCGGGTCTTAGATGTGGCATGCGGGATCTAGTTCCCTGACCAGGGATCGAACCTGGGCCCCCAGCATTGGGAACGAGGAGTCTTAACCACTGGACCGCCAGGGAAGTCCCCCCAGAAACCCTTTAATTGACCGTTTCTTCAGAGCTTGGCAGATGATACGAAAGGAGGGCTAGAGTGGGTCTGCTGTTCAGTATTAGTTATGTGTTGTTCCCTTCTCTTCTCTTTCTCTCATCTAGATTCCTTATGGCAGGAAATATGACAAGTCATGGCTCCTGAGCATGATTCAGAGCAAGTGCAGCATCCCTTTCACTCCCATTGAGGTAAGAGAAGGCCCAGGTGTGTGGCTGGGGACCAAGGAGCAGGTGGAGGTACCATCTGCACGGGGGTGCTCTGGGCTCCCAAGTCCAATGCTGTTGTTTTCTCTTCTTGCAGTTTCACTATGAAAACACACGGGCCCTGTTTTTTGTTGAGGATGCCAGTACTGCCTCTGCATTGAAGGCTGTCAACTATAAGATTTTGGATCGGGAGAACCGCAGGGTATGTGTGAAGGGCCTGGCTTGGTTGGGGGTGGGGATTGGTGCTCAGGGCATGGACTGGGTCTTGGTCCTGGGGCTTAGGCCTCCCTGGAGTTCACCGTGCCCATGCGTGTCTCCCCTGCAGATATCTATCATCATCAACTCCTCTCTTCCACCCCACACTGTGCAGAACGAACTGAAGCCAGAGCAAGCAGAGCAGCTAAAGGTGAGGCAGCCGCAAGGGATGGGTGCTTCCACCCGAGTCCTGCCAGTTCTCACCCTCCACCCATGCCCACACGCGACTCCAGTGACCGCTGAATCCTTTGTATTCCTCTGTAGCTGGTCATGAGCAAACGATACGATGGCTCCCAGCAAGCACTTGACCTCAAGGGCCTCCGTTCAGACCCAGGTACGGTTGATAGCAGTAATTCTCAGATGGGTGGCGGCAGAGGGGGATCTGTCAGGCAGGGAACATTTGAGGCTGGTTTGGTGGGAACGCTGGCCTGGGTGAGCCCTCTCAGACTTCCCTTTCCTTCCTGAAGATTTGGTGGCCCAGAACATTGATGTTGTCCTGAATCGTAGAAGCTGTATGGCAGCCACCCTGCGAATCATTGAAGAGAACATCCCTGAGGTGAGGCCTTTGTCCCACTAGGTGGGAGGAAGCAGGGTGGGATAGATAGATAGATAGGATGGGGTTGGGAGGCAGGTTTGTTTCAGATTCCCTTGCTGCTGGTGCTTCCTCTAAATTCTTCTCTTCCCACAGCTGTTGTCCTTAAACTTGAGCAATAACAAGCTGTACAGGCTGGATGACTTGTCCAGCATTGTGCAGAAAGCACCCAATCTAAAGATCCTCGATCTTTCTGGAAATGAGGTGAGACTGAGAGCCTGTTTGTGTTTTGGATGGGGTGGGCAGAGGGTGGAGAGAGCTTGCCTGGTGGCAGCAATAGGCGAGGGAGGGCATTTAAGGGATGAGGTGGGGCTTGGGGGTGGGAGGAATCTAGCTGGCTCCCTTTACCAGCATGTCTTTCCCGCCTTTTCTCCCCATCCTTTGCAGCTAAAGTCTGAGCGGGAGTTGGACAAGATAAAAGGGCTGAAGCTAGAAGAGCTGTGGCTTGACAGAAACACCCTGTGTGATACCTTTCGAGACCAGTCCACCTACATCAGGTCAGTTTTAACCTCTGTCTCCCCTCCTGGGAACCTTCACCCCCTAGGAGGCTGAGCTGATGCACCCTGACCAGTGCCCGTCTGCAGATGTGCAGCCCTGAGCTGGAACCACCTGTCCTTGGGGAGGATCATGTGCTCCTCCCGTTTGTCCATCCGTGACACCCAGCTTTGCCCCAGGCCTCCTTTCCTTTCTTCTCACCTGTCTGCCTGTTTGCTGGTTCTGTGGCTTTTCTCCTTCCTTCCTGAACACAGGGTTTTCTACACTCCCCCTACCCTGTTGTTCCATGAAGAGCAGCTCCCTTTTTTACCGTGGCTAGGGGACATATCTTGTATATCATGCCCCATACATGGAGTTGCTTTGAGCCAAGAGCCTGGTATCCCTGGGCAGAGAAAGCCCTCCCTCCCTGGGACTTCCTGCTGATGGAAATTCTTCCTTCCTCTGTCCTGCAACGGCCCCTCTTGCCCTTTTGCCAAGAGGCGCTCTCTTCTCACAATCTCCTTGCCCAAGGCTGGTGCCCGGGCTTTCCTGCCCACACTGAGGTTGAGGCCTCCTGGTGGCTGGTGCCGTGCAATCGGTCTCTCTTGCCCAGTGCTGTAAGCTGGGCCCTCCCTGGAGGAGAAACCTGGGTTCCCGAAGACATGTGACCAGAGCCGGGGCCCCGCCAGTTGGCGAGGGAATCCCAGGGCAGGTGCTGGGCGTGGAGGCCACGGGGGCATAGGCTACCAAGGTGACAGAGAACTGACCTTCTCTGGGGGCGCTGCACCTCGCTCACTCGCACACCTCACATCTCCCTGCTTGGCCCCGGAGGATGGCTGGTTAGCCAGAGACGGGTAAGATTCCTCAGGGAAGGAACAACCTAAGACAGGCACAGTCGCAGAGGGGCCATCAGGAGAGAACTTGGGGGCCAACAGAGGTGGGGCACAGACCCTCACCCCCCCAACTTTGCAGGGGCCTGAACCCTCACCCCTTCTGAGGGAGGTCTCCTGTCCCCATGGCTGCTTCGCTTCCCACGCCCAGCTCAGATGGGAACCCAGGTAGCAGACAAGAGACCTGGCCAATAGCAGCTGCTCTCCCGCCGCAGCAGGGCTTTGTTTCCCATTTCCTCCGTGGACCACAGGGAAGAGGGAGCTGAAAGAAAGGGCTGTGTCAGGTGGCTTCTTCCTTTGTTCTCCCTCTTCTTTCTAAATGACTCTTTGCCGTGTAGTGCTTTCGCTTTTCCTTTGCTTTCTCTTTCCTCTTTCTCTCTCCTCGCCAGTATCGGCCCCGTCTCCTTGGCTCCTTCCTCTCCTGCCTTTTCTCTCTCTTCTCCGTTTCGTCCCCTCGCTGCTTCCTTGGCCTCATCTCCTCCTGAGCCCTGCCTTGCTCATCTCCCTGCCCCAACATCCTGTGCCATTTCTGCGGTGTGTTCTGGTCTTGGCCGTGGCCAGACCTGGCAGAAGTGATGGATACCTGTTGAGGCAGTGGAGCCCCTGGGCTCCCACCCCATTCCCTCCTCCCGGGGGCTGCACAGGTGAGTAGGTGGAAGGTAAGGGGGGTAGGGAGGGAAAGGAGGTCCTGGCTTAAAGCCTGGGCCGGGAGTGCTGCTTCTGTGGCGTGTTCAGAGTCACTCAGAGAAGAGAGGGTCGTCCTCCGAGGCAGTCATTTCTGGTGCCCAGGAGAGGTGGGGAGTTGGGGCCATTTTTCCTGGAGCTCAGAGGCTGGGAAAGAGTGAGGACAAGAGGGTGGGATGGGCTGTCCCTCGGGCATTGGTATATTCACCCCTAGAGCAGCCCAGGAGGCACGGTGGCTCTGAAACATCACTCATTTCTGTCCCATTCTTGACAGCGCCGTTCGAGAGCGATTTCCCAAATTATTACGCCTGGTAAGTACCTAACTTTTTTCATTCTCTTCTAAGGAGCATAGCATCTCGCACCCTCAAAGTCTTGCCTAACGTGTTTGTATGATCACTGATTTGGGGACATGGAGCCCTTTGAGAATCTGACAAAGTCTCTAATCCTTTTTTTTTTTTTTTTTTCCCCCTGGTTGTGGGGTGGGGGGAATCAAGCCATTTTATTGAGGACCTTTGAGGGAGGGTTGAAGGGCCGGTAGAACAATGAGATCTGACATCCTTCTCCCAGCTGGGATCTCCCCAGCTTCACAGTCGCTGAAAATATAATCATTCTTCCCAGAAAAACACCTGTAGACAAAAGTTGCATCCATCAGGATTCATGGACCCTTGCCATGTCTCTTTGACACTTGACCTGTGACCCCTCACTCTTAGTTCTCCCATCTGAGTGCTCATCCAGCCTTTTCTGTCTGGTTTATATCGTCGGCTGTCACTTTCTTTCTGCAGGACGGCCATGAGTTACCCCCACCGATTGCCTTTGACATTGAAGCCCCCACAGTGTTACCTCCCTGCAAGGTGAGTGGAGGGGGCCGCAGTTGGGGGCACAAGAGTTAGCGCTCACGTTGGGAGGAGAGTCCTGGTTACGTGGTCCTAATATCTGTTTGATTCCAGGGAAGCTACTTTGGAACAGAGACCCTGAAGAATCTGGTCCTGCACTTCTTGCAGCAGTGAGTATCTCAGGTCACCTCAGGCTGGGGGGCGGTGGGCTAGCCCCAGCACAGCTCGCTCTCGGGAGCTGTCGGTCACTGTGCGGCCCCAGATTGTGGAGCTCAGGCTTTCCCTTTTGTTTTCCTCATAGGTACTATGCGATATATGACTCCGGAGACCGGCAGCAGCTCCTGGATGCCTACCACGATGGGGCCTGCTGCTCTCTGAGTATTCCTTTCACCCCCCAGAACCCTGCCCGGTGAGTGTCACATCCCGGAACCTGCCCAGGACCAGAGTTTCTCAGCAAATACAGGCCAGCACGTGCGCATGCACACCGTTCTGACCACTGCCTCCTTTTTCTCCTGTTCCCCCCAGAAGCAACTTAGCTGAGTACTTCAAAGATAGTAGGAATGTGAAGAAGCTTAAAGACCCTAGTAAGTGTGTGATGTGAGCAGAACAGGTTGGGAGAAGGGGATGGGAAGGGGCTGAGTGTGGGCTGAGTGTGGCAGCTGCTCACCTTGGCTTCCCCTCCTCCCACAGCCCTGCGGTTCCGGCTGCTAAAGCACACACGTCTCAATGTTGTGGCCTTCCTCAATGAGTTGCCCAAAACTCAGCATGACGTCAGTTCCTTCGTGGTAGACATAAGCGCCCAGACAGTGAGCACCTATGTCTTCCTTGGCAGAAGGGCGGAATTGGGGAAGGGGCGGTTAAGAGGCAGGGAGGACTCGGGCTCTGGCTGGGAGCCTACGTGGTACCTGATGCTGCTGCTTCTCTTTCAGAGCACGTTGCTGTGTTTTTCTGTCAATGGGGTCTTCAAAGAAGGTGAGGGTCTTTGGAGTGCCGAGTTTGCAGAGTGGTCCCTTTCCCAGCTAGTCGTTCTCAGCACTCTTAGCTTCCCAGCTACCTTCTCTTCTCTCTTCTTCCTTGACCTCCTTCTCTCATTCTTCCCCCCAAGCCTACCCTCTCCACCTGTCTTTTCCTGTCTGGGATATGGGAAAAGCCTGAGGTTTAGAAGGACACAGACTTTGGAGTCAGGCAGGTCTGAGCTTCCATCCCAACTTTGGTCCTCTGTGTCTGTGGGCAATTTACATTACCTCTGAGCCTGAGTCTTTATTTGTGAAAGGAAGGGGGTTAGTAATAGCCATCTCACAGTGTTGTGGTGAGTAAGTGAAGTGATGTACAAGATGCTTGACACCGGGCCTGGCACACACACACTCCACTAGTGGGATAACAGCGTTGTTGTTATTACTGTCCTCCCTGACCTCTGATACTCCTCCCCACTGTGCTCCCCTGTGCACACATAATCATCCCTGTCTGGCCCACTTAGGGTTCTTTGTATCAAATAAGACCATGATTTTTGAGAAGCTGTTTGAAAACATAAAACATGAGTGACTCTGACAGGTTGTCACCATTGTTATCATTGCAGTGGATGGAAAATCTCGGGACTCTTTGCGAGCCTTTACCCGGACATTCGTCGCTGTTCCTGCCAGCAATTCAGGGTGAGTGTTGGACTTACCGTATGGGGTCCCAGTCCCAATCCATGGCCACCACTGTGAAGATTGGGGAGGGTGGAGTCGGTCCTCTGGGTATCTTCAGACATTCAGAAAGGCAGGGGGTGATCAGAGGAGGGTCACATAGTGGTGACGAGCTTGGCTCTGGAGTCCAGCTGTCTGGGGTTTTCATCCTGGCTCCACCACTTCTAGCTTAGGGCAAGTTTCCTCATTTGAAAAGTGGTTTAACAATATTCACTTCCTAAGTCTGTTGTGAAGGTAAATGAGTGTTGGGGGAGAATGTATAATTCTAGTGTGTTTGGTAGATAATCCCATACATGGAGTCCATGGGAAAGGGAGGAAATGAAAAAGGGACCTCGTGGGTATTGAAAGGATCTGAGTGTCAAGTGAGAATAGGAATGATGTTGGGAGGATGAGGTTATCTGTCTGTCTGTCCAGCTGTCTCAGGTGCTTTTTGTCCCCAAGGTTGTGCATCGTAAATGATGAGCTGTTTGTGCGGAATGCCAGTCCTGATGAGATCCAAAGAGCCTTTGCCATGCCTGCACCCACACCTTCTTCCAGCCCAGTGCCCACCCTCTCCCCAGAGCAGCAGGAAATGGTGCAGGCATTCTCTACCCAGTCTGGCATGAACCTTGAGTGGTCCCAGAAGTGAGTACTGGACATGTGTAGGAATAAGGGTGAACTGGGGTAGGGCTGCTGGTGAATAATGACTGCCCCTAAAATTTTTAAAGCCAGAACTTTTTTTATTACTTAAAGAAAAAAAAAAGACGGTCCATAAAAAAATTTTCTCTATGCATACATTAGCATAACATTTAAAGTCAAAATGAAGTCCCTCTTTTATACTGTTCTGCAACATACTTTACTTATCCCATGAACATCTTTCCCTATTAGTATAAAACTCACCTTAGTCTCATTTCTGTTAGCTATTTAATAGAAATAGATAGCTATTTAATATTTCTTTGTAATCGAAAGACCATTGATAGATGGATTTTTACCAACTTTTCATTTGTATAAAGAGTGCAAGAATGTATGTAATTGTTGGTGGTGAGTGTTTCCATAGAATGGATGTTGAAGTGGCATTTAGAGATCAGGGTGACTGCGTCTTGGTTCTAATGGAGGTGCCTGTTCTTGCCCTACTCCAGGTGCCTTCAGGACAACAACTGGGACTACACCAGATCTGCCCAGGCCTTTACTCATCTCAAGGTAAAGTTTGGGAATAGGTGGCTAAAAGAGATTTCCAGGCCTTCAAGAGGGTCACGTAGGCTTGGGACGCGGGCATGGGCCACCTGGCTCTACTGACCTTTTATTTTTTCTCTAAGGCCAAGGGCGAGATCCCAGAAGTGGCATTCATAAAGTAATCCATAGTCATGCCCCAGAAGATCCCTGTAAATAGCCCTCGTCTGTCCTGATGTCTCCTCTTCGGCCCCTGTGACTGTGACTGTGACTGCTGGATCCCTCTCCTTACCTGCCTTCTTGAAGACTTCGGGAAGATTGAGCCTCCCTGGTGCCAGGAAGCCAAAGCTTACTTTGTAGAACTGACACTAAACTACCCGAAGGACTTAGGTGCTTTGTGTACTTATCCCAGGATCCTCCCTACTTTTTAAGATAAAGAGTGATACTGTATTTTGTGTCCAGTGTGCTGGGTTATTTTAGCCTTGCCCTTCGCAAGCGCGGGCGGGGCCGACAGATGGACTCCGAGGGGGCGGGGCGGGGCGGGGCCAGCGGCAGGAAGTCCCGCCCCGGAAGCGGTGCCGCTCAGGGGCATGGCGGCTCTCGGGCGGCGGTGCCGTCTGCGGCTGTTCTTAACGCTGCAGTCGCTTGCCGCGCGCAGGGCTCTGCATGACGTGGGCCCGCCACGGGACGTGCTGCTCTTCGAGCACGAAGGAGGTCGCTTCTTCGCCGTCCTCGGGCTGTTCTGCGCTGGCCAGGGCGTCTTCTGGGCTTCCCTAGCCATTGCCGCCTTGGCCCGCCCGCCGGCCTCCACTCGGCCTCCAGACGCCGAGTCCCCAGGCCGCGGCCGCCTGGACCTGCGCTCCGCGCTCTGGCGCTACGGCCTTGCCGTCGGCTGCGGCGCCATCGGTAAGGTGTGGTTTGCCTTCCCGGCATGGGTCGAGGAGGGCGGGCACAATCCTCTCCGCTTGGGCAAGAAGAGTAAGGGGCTCCCGACCCTCCAGGATGGACAGGCCACCCTCATAGGTGTGTGGTACACTGGAGTCGGACGTCCCCGAGCGCCAAGCCCTCGTACAGGTTCAGGCTGAAGTCTGCCTCTCACTCTGTGACCTTGAGCGAGTTAGTACTTACGCTCTGGACCCTGTTTTAAAATGGGTGTGAGTATCTATTAAGGCTTTTGGGAGGAATGACTAATACATGATGGGGGTACAGGAGGAGCTTAGTAAATGTTACTATCATCACAATTTTTTTTTTTTATTATTTGGGGGCACACGGTAAGGGTTGCTTCTTAGCTCTCCAGGGAAAACCCCAATCTTTGCTCTTCCTGCAGGTACTCTGGTACTTGGTGCTGGTCTTCTCTTTTCCTTCCGCTCTGTGCGCTCAGTGATGCTACAGGCTGGAGGGAAGCAAGTGACCCTCACCACTCATGCCCCCTTTGGCTGGGGTGCCCATTTTACAGTTCCCTTGAACCAAGTATCCTGCATGGCCCACCGGGGTGAAGTCCCTGCCATGTTGCCTCTGAAGGTCAAAGGCCGACGATTCTACTTCCTCTTGGACAAAGCTGGACACTTCCCCAACACGAAACTCTTTGACAACACTGTGGGTGCCTACCGTAGCTTGTGACGAAACCACCTCAGGTCACTCACCCCTCCCAGAGGGGAATCAAAACTGAACCTTAGGGAATGGGGTGACAACCAGGGTCACACAAGAGGCCCAAAATTCATTAACAGCAAATAAAGGAGCAGTCATCCCAAGGGCAGCTACCTGTCAGTACCTCAAAGTTTTGATCCATGCCTGTTTCGCCTTCACTCCTTACTCCCATCCACCCTACCTACAGTGCTTTACACCAAGAACTCAGTACTGAGATGAAGAAAGAAAGTAATATAATACTTTGGTACAAAAACAGCTGTAGGAAGAGGGGGTCTGTTAATCATGTTTCCCTCCTGGAGGGAAAACTCAGGCTCCCAGCCGTGTGGGCCATGTGGGGGCAAGAGGACTGCAGGCACTTGGGCACGGAGTCTGGCGGCAGGAGTACTCTTTGGTTAGTCTTCAGGAATGGGAAAGGCGTGGCCCAACAAGAGCATCTGTCTCAGAGCTCCACACAGGGTCCCCCCTCTCCAGAGGCCGGTATGGGGTGGCTTCAGACTTCCACTGCACGACCTGGAGCACCAAGACCATGCACCACAATACCAGATTCACCCAAGAAGAGGTCTGTGGGAGACAGGAACAGGAGTGTGAGGAGTGGGCCCATCTCGAATCCAGTTCCACCCACACACCACTCTTAGCTGTTCACTGTCAGGCCATCAAGCCTTCAGCTCCTCTCAGCCCCTCACTGGTGGGCCAAGCTCAGAGTACACTGGTGAGCACTCTTACAACTGCAGATTGTGTTATATGATTCATTATGTGAATCTGTGTATCCCTCAATCTCCACCCAGTCTTTCATATCCCAGGACCTCACTTCAGCATTGTGTAGGTTGGAGTAAAACTGCAGAGCGGTTCCAGGGGGTATCCATGGAGTTTTCTGGGCATCAGAGCAGCTGTGAGGTCAAAGAGACAGTTGTGAGAAAGGGGAGACATACCCTAAATACCCTTGTGCTCCAGTGCCCCTTTGAGAACTGATGGGGATATAAAACGGGGTGTATAGGATCCCCTCTACAGAGGGAAGGTAGTCAGCCCCAGCCAGGCTTCCCTCCCTCTCCCATTACCTAGTTATGTTCAGGGAGATGATGGATTTGCAGAGGGAACTGGTGCCAAATCGAAGGATGCAGGCAGACACTAAGACCAGGAAGATGGCTATAGCTGAGATGGCCAGTGCAATGCGGAGCCCTATCGGGCCTCTATAAGGAGGGAGAGAATAAACCTTGTGGTTGAGGTGGGACTCCTCCCATCTCAGCCCCTGGCCCTCGGAGTGGGCAGTCACCTGTGGGAATCCTCGATGCAGCTGCTGTAGACCCAGAAGAGCAGAAGCAGGAGACAGTAGAGGGCCAGCAGGCCAGAGGCCCCAGCCACAAAGTAGCAGAGAGATGGGGCCGAGGGTCGGGACAAGGCCAGGGAGGAGCCATTCAGGGCAGCCACACCATACAGGGGACAGCTGCCCCTGAAGGAGCCCTGTGGAAAGAAGCTGCTGAGTCCTAGATTTCAGGCTGGTGCCTCTGGATGCAGGCTCATGGCAGGTGTTGGGGATAATCTAAACCAGGGCCGCTCTAGGGAGTTATTTGTGCACTGTCAGCTCCTGTTTCTGGGCCAGTAGATTAATGAGTCCGCTGGGGAAATCAAACCTGCAGTGAGTGGCCAGAAGGATCAGGAAATAGGCGGTAGTTATGAAATACAAAGAGCTTCAGAGTTGCCTCACAAGTTCTGGTCTCCCCTCGTGCAGAAATCCTAGAGTAGAACCAGAACTGTGTGACCTTCAGCTATCTCCGATGTTTTCTGACCTGTAAAACAGGCGTAATAGCGCCTCCTTATAGGGATTAAATGAACCTGTTTATTAACATGATTGCCTGACTGCGATAAACACTCAGCCTAAACTTTTGGCTTCTGCTACATCACTATTTTGCCATTTAACACATTCTGTCGCAACCATTTGGTAGTTTGATCATCTCCACTACACTAAGCTTTATTTCTTGGAGTAGCTTAGCACAACAGTGTCTGATTTAGGGCGCCCTGGACCAGCTTGTTTCACAGCCAGGGTGAGTTTATGCAGAGGGAGTCACCAGGCCGGGCTATATCTGATGCTGTTAAGACTCTCCTGAGGACTCGTTCCTTTGGCCCGAGTATGACCTGGGCGGACAGACCGACAGAGCGCGTTTACCGCCGATGCAACTCCACCGCCGACCAGCCCCACCCGGCCCACAGGCTGAGAGGAGCAGCGCGCCAGAACCCGCCCCCCACCCCCCACCGGCCCGGACAGCAGCGGACTCTCCGTGTGAGGATCGGCCTGCCCGCCCCCGCTTACCCGGCCCCGTCCCGCAGCCCCACCTGGGTCCGAGTCAGTGCCGCGGCCGCCACGGCTCCGCACACGAAGGCGGTAGCAAAGAACACGAGCTCGACGCGCTGCAGCCAAGGGAGAGCCATGGCTCCCTCGCCACCAGGAAGCGCCGCCGTGGGAGCCAACCGCCCAAGCCCCGCCTCATCCGGCGCGACCCACGAGCGCGGAAACGTCACTTCCGGGCGCTGGATTTATTCACAGAGGCCAGCGCCGCCTCAAAGCGGCAGGTACAGCGAGTAGTCCGAGAGCGCCCAGCGGCGGGCCGGGCGGCCGGTGCGGCCGATCATGGGCAGCTTCTGCACGTAACGGGAGGCCGGGCTGGGCCCGTACGGCGCGGGGAAGGCAGTCTGGAAGAGGCGCCCGCGGCATCGCCTCCCTGCTTGCCGCCCGGCGATGATGAAACGGAAGTGAGGGGCACCGCGCGGGGCGAAACGGCTCTTCTGGAAGACGTCGCGGGTGCCGGCGCCCGGGCCCTGCTGCCGGGGCGCCCCCCGCGCCCGGTGCACGCGCGGCAGCGGCCTGCTCTCAGAGGCGGTGGGGGCAGAGGCCGACGGGGGGCCTCCGCCCCGGGGGCTCTCGTCGCCCTGCGGGCTGACCATGGCGTTGGCGGTCAGCTGCGGCATCTTCCGCACCGAGTCCGGGGCGGCCGCCGGCTCCTTCTTGTCTCCAGGCGGCCGCGGGGCCGTGGGCGCGGGCTGACCCGTGCCAAAGCGGGTGGCCAAGCTGTCACCGAAGAAGGCGTAGAGCTCCCGATAGATGTCCGCCAGGGTCACCGAAGGGGAAGGAGCCTCCGGCCCCGCGCCTCCAGGCGGCAGCGGGAGACCAGACCCAAAGCCTGGCTCTGCGCTGCCCCCGGAGGGAGACTCCTGCAGGAGAAGACTGTCCCAAGGCAGGTCGTCTGAGCGCCGGCAGCCCCTGCTGCCTGGCCCACCCTTGTTGGGCTCTGCTGCCTGGGCCTTCATCTTCAGCAGTCGTTCTACGGCCACCTGCAAGAGCAGGGGGACTAGGATAGGAGGAACCTGGGCCTATCAAGTGTTCCAAAGTAGGCCCGCTGAGCTGCTGTGCTCATGCAGGGAGGAGAGGCTGGAAGGGGCTGGCACTCACCAGAATGGCTCCATAGACTTTGTGCCCATCTGCTTTAACCTGGGCATTCGATACTGAATAATCATCTAGCACAGCCTGCAAATTTGTCCAGTAAGTGGACAGGTGTGGGTACAGGACTCGCTCTACTGCCTGGAAGGGAGAGAAGAATGCAGTGAGTGCCTCTTTTTTGCTTATCGCCTCCCAAGTACCATTTCCCCTGAAAGATCTACTTTTATCTCCGGTACTGAATTTAGGGCTCAATCCTAAATTCCCTGCTTGGCATATTCAGCCACAGTTTGGAAGCTCCTGGATGCCCAAGCCTTAATTAATTAAGCCCTGGGAACAAAGATCGGGTACAAAGACATACAAAACCAATACAAAGTGACC